GTGTGTGTGTGTGTGTGTGTGTGTGTGTGTGTGTGTGTGTGTGTGTGTCCTGGTGAAAGTCAGGAGCATCACTATGTTACCACTGCATTATCACCAAGGGTGTGGCCCAGCACCACTTGCTTCAGATAACAATATGCTCTGTTTCCAATTTAGAAATAGCCACATAATAAAACGTTAGAGTCTTCAATGAGAAGCAGAGGTGCTTGTTATAAAGATGAAGGTTTGTTTATGCTTTTGTTACATTTTGTGCTCTTTTCTTCTTTTGTTTGGTTTTGACTGAATTGTGACCCTTGTAACATCATCTTGCCAAAAAAAAAAAAAATGAACTGAATTTATGTAGACATATCATGACATACCATCTATTTCTCTGTCAGTTACAGCAATAAGAGTGGATAAACTCTACATTCTAGATCTCCCACATTGAACATCCATGTTCTTTCTATGGTTTTGCTTTCTTTAAGGCCACAATTAGACTTGAGATGTACAGCCATCCAAAACCAGGAAGCTCATGTGGATCTGGTGCTACAGCACTCACTGTGAATAAGTGTGACCAGATATTAATATGCAATATTGTTTCCAGTCCTTTCTAATACACTTTTTTATGATGTTGCGTGTGGTTAAATTTTCCTGTATCACTACCACTTCAGATCTTCCCCTGACAGGTACATGGAAGTGTAAGAAAATGCAGCCATCTCTGCAGCCCTGACTCTAGCATGATGTTAACTGATTTCTGCTTAGCTGAGAACAAGTGGTTTCCACTGGGAGTATAGAGTATCCTTTTGTACACATTTTGTCTTAGATCACTTTAGAAGATCACTACAAAACAAATAAATTCTACAAATACTCTGTCTGCCCCATCCAGTGAAGTCCACACACAAGCATAAAACAAACTCCAGCCATTGTAAAGTTTGCTGTATCCTCTCTGAGACCAGGAGGTAAGGAGCTCAAGCCTTGAAACAAGAAGTGTGAGCAGAAACACAGGAACAGGCACAGCTAGTTAGCTCAGCTGGCCAGCTAGAGAGTCACTGATAAGCCTCTGGACCTCAGCATCATGGTAGTGTCAGAAGAGGAGCGACTAAGACAGAATGCCGGACAGAATGACAGCTTTCATGCCCTGCCTTTCATTCCTTTCATTTTAACAAGCACAGGAATTATTCTCAGCACGACTTTCTGACACCGTGGGGCAAGGCTTTCTCATTCATCTAGCTGCTTCACTTTGTAAGAGATTGTCAAGAAAACTGCTGCAGACTTCACACCTAAGGAGTATGTAAATGGAAACAATGGGCTCTGTTTTCCATGCGAGCCTGGAATTAGCACTGAGGAACAGGAGAGAGGCCCAAGGTCCCTGACCCCATTTCCAGTATTTCTCAGTCAAATTTTGATTAGAAGAATTCAGACTTCCATCAGCAGAATATGATGTGGAAGTTCTGTGACTCCTTAGTTAAACCTCCTTGCCTTCTTTGAACCCATTCTGATTCTCAAGAAACAAATCTTTGGGCACTAGGGATATGGCTCAGCTGGTAAAGTGCTCATCTCAAATGCCCAATGCCCTGGGGTTCAATCCTCACACACTGGGTGTGGTGGCAAATACTTGTAATCCCAGTATTTTGAGAAAGAAGCAGGAGTTGAAAGAGGTCTTTGGATCTATAAGGAGTTCAAGGGCAGCCTTGGATACCTGACTCCCTGTTACATAAAAAGAAAGAAACAAAACTTTGGCTGTTTCTAAAAGTTGCCTTTTGTCGTGGCTTCAACTAAGACACAGAGCTAGGAGCAAAAGAGATAGAAAATTGAGCAATTAGTGAAAGGCTTGAAGGAAGTTCTCAGATGACCAAAGTGGGAACTCCGTGTTCCTCCATCATTCTGGAAACTTCTGGCTCTTTTTCTGCACTAGTACCCAAAGCAGCAACCAACTGGCACAGCTCCCATGCAGAGGTGAGGTCAAGTGTTGCTGTTGCCACACAGCATCCGCCACTTGTGTCTTTTCCCAGGCTACTCCCTCCACCCAGCTCACATACCACCTCTCAGGAAACCCAAGAGGATTCCTATGGCCCCTAGAATAGCACTGCTTTAGCAGCCCCATACCCTTTGGCTTCTCTATTCCACTATTAACCTCCACCCTGAGCGAACCTACTCTGATCAGCACACAAGAGGCCCAGCCTCCAGTTCATCAACTACAGCCCTGCCATGAATCAGGACTGTGTCCTGAGCTAGCATCTCTGAAGCATCTGATAGCATATCCTATCTCATCCCTATTGTTCAGTTGCAGCTTCCAGAGGCCACTTACTGAATATGTTGAAATGGAAAGTATTCATGGAACAACCTCCATCCCCAGCTGTGAGGTATGTGTGCGGCCAGCCCTCCAGTACATGAAGCAAATCATCAATCAATGCTAGTTCACTGAGGGCCAATTAGAGCCATGACTCTCCTGAGCCAGGGCTCACAGTTGTCTGGATAGAGGAACAATGTCTTCCCACAAATGATCTGAAACAACTTAGACACAGGCAAAGGAATCAGGTGAGAAGTCGAGATGTTCATTTTGCTACTCTCAAAAGCCCAGCTTCCACATGTGACCACCCTGCAAAAGCAACCACAATGGAAGATGCATGTAACCTAACCCTCAGTACCTCAGCAGTTCCCCTGGTGGACAGCTTTGACATGCTACCTGACTTGTATATACTACAAAGACAGAAGGCCACAGGCCAACTGTAGTGAGTTTCCCTAGCGGCTCCATTGTAGATTATGTGATTTTCTGTGACTGTGGGCCTCTGGCCTCCTGAGTCCCGTTACTGTGGTCCAACCATTTTGGGGTTTCACAAGTGATTTGTGAAAATGAGGACCTGATTAAGTTACTGTCCCTACCCACAGATCATCCCTGGTTACACTGAAGTTTCAAGCAGAGTATAGTTTCCTCATTTGGGGATATGGGGGTTAGGGGTGCTTTGCCCTAGAAGATGTCCCTCTGGGCATGTTCTTAAGAATATGGTCTGGTCCTTAAGAACAGGATTCTGAATACCACCAAGTCTGAGTTTGAATGTCTGCACTGCAGCCTAAAGGTATGCAACAGTGGACACGTAACTTAACCTCTCCAAGATCTCTTTCCTCATCACTGATGGCTGAAGAGCTGGAGGCTAGAGCTAGCAACATCTGACAAAATGTGAGCAATGGGCCTGGGTCATTCGAATATTCCATTCTGACTTTTTTATATACTATCCTTTCCCTCTTATCTTATTTCTATGACAACCAGGCAAGCCAGCAGTTCCTCTGTATTCCCATCTCAGAGACCCAATAGCTGTAGTGAGGAAGCAGCAAGCCTCTCCTCCCTTGTAACAACACCACACTGATAAGGTCTCAGTCTTTGCAATTTCACTGGGAGTTGCAGGGTCATGCCCCATTGGACACATGAAAGACAGCATCTGAGAGGCAAAGTCTCACAAAAAGATGGTGCAGAGCGGAGGTAGATATGGCTGCAGGACCTGACTCAGGCCCCTTCTCCACCTGGCTCCTGCTCCATTCTGGAATGTTCCTTTTCAAGGAAAAGTGGATATGATCTGATTCTCTTGAATTACAGTGTCACTCTTAGGAAGGGAAAGAAATACCTGTACCTATAAACCTGCCTTCGGAGCAGCCCTCAGCCTTGTCATCGCCATATTGTCCCACAGGTTGCATGTCACATCAGTTTCTCAGTCTTGCCTTCATAAAGAGTCACTATCGCCAAGACTTGCCCCAGAGCAACAAGGCAAGTGGCACAGGGCCATGATCCAGAGCCAAATAGAAAAAAAGGACATGGGTAGAGCCAGGCATAGGGAGCCAGATCTTGTTTAAGTATGACAACTGTCGAATATCTCTAGAGCCTAGTGCATGGTAGGTGGACTTGGGCAGCATTGTCCACCCAAGACTTAACAGAAGCTGTGAGGTGTACTGCAGCTGCTTTGTAGGGTAGAAAATACAGCTCTGGGAGAAGGGAGGGGAACAGGAAGAGCTAGCAAAGGAAATGAAAATATTTGTGCATGAAGAAAGGAAAGCCAGTTGAGCAGGCATCCCCAATTTTCATCTTCAAATAAGAGACCAATTACAAGGCCAAAAAAGGCCGAATGAGGAAGGCAACTGAGGAAGGCCTCTGAGCTCGATGTCTAGGTTGCTCCAAATGACCTTGAAGGTCAGTTGGGAGTAGGAAGAGGTCATACAGCAGAGGCAGGCTCTGACCTCAGGCCTACCTAACAAGAAGTTAGGGCTTCAGCAACACAGTGCCGAAGTTCAGCTGGTCTCAAATTCTTGGCCAGATTGTACAAAAAAGGAAGACCCATACTGGTATGTCTCCTGGCTTTTTCCACTTTTTGTCAAGGCTAAGAACAGGAACAAAATGGACATCCATTGACCTCTGACTCCTCCAATGACTACGGACCCTGCATGTCTGGGAAGAGGGCTGCTTATGACAGGATGCATTAAGCTCCAGCTCAAAGAACAAGTCTGGTGGCTCCCTGTACAGCAATGAACCCCTGGCCCATACTCCCTTTACAGTAGACACTTGACCTAGGGCAGAGCAGATGAGCCCTGGCGACTCAGTGAATCGGCACCAAGGGAAGCAGATGTGCTCGCCATGGTCCCCAGGCACAACCAGGAACCAGCCACTAGGGGAGGAAATTTGCATAATAGGGATAATTTGGTACCAAAACTGTCCCCTGAAGTGAACTGCATGGATCTCAGTATAGTTCA